ATGCGCAGGGATGCCTGGGCGAGCGGGCATGGGTAGAAGTTGATCACTTTTTGACATGCGCAGTTGAAACAAAACATGAACAACTGACATCAGTCCTATTCTGTTTGCAGCCCTGTCCCACATGTCACAATATCACTTTGTGTACCAAATCAATGGGGGACAAGTCATTGCCAATTGATGTATATGTTTTGTGCAATCACACATCTCAAAGAAAACTGGACGGAACAATGGACAAAATGAACCAAAGGAGCCTCATCCTTTGTAGAGATTGCAGATGCAGAGGGTGCAGGGGATAGTGGGCTTGGAGACCCTCCACCCTCCGAAGAAGGTTTCTCCAAAGGGGTTCCACCCAAAGAAGCTGCCACCTGAGACTCCGAAGCAGGTAGTGTCTCCTCTGGCTCTGCAGCATTATGCTGCGGAGAAGCCTCAGACATCACCAATACGACAGGAATCTTCACACTTTCTGCATCACACCCCCAAACCGAGAAGCATGAAGGATAGACAGATGGATGGATACACCATAAATCTTACAATTTCCTTTCAGGGCCACCCAATATCTCAACACAGCAAGTCATTCAGTCTAGGAGCCTGCGACTGAAGACTTTTCAGCGCTTCCAAGGCCTCAGCCTCAGCCAGAGCCAAATCCATAATGTGGCTTGGACCCCAAAGTGTGGGCCACCCAAGGGTTGGACAGAAAAGGGATGATAGCACCAATTTCATATACTCAAAAGATCTCAAAAGTAAACAGGGTACTTGCAGCTATAAGGGCATTGAATGGGCATTGAACTCCCTACGTTGGCAACCCTATATTGACACAAGATTGGGCACCGAGCTGCGCTGGCTTGAGCCTCCATGTCCGCCAGTTCTTGTTCAAGCTCCTGCAAAGCACTGGAACCATGACATTCTCCCAACAGATGCAGTTTGTGGCTAAAGTCCACATGTGCACCCACGGTGACTCCTTAGTTAGACAGTATATATGCTGTTGGCTTCGGAACTCCTGAAGTTTCTCCAAAGAATCAGGCATGTTGTTGTGCAAATCATCAAGGATGTGGGAAAGACCACGTCCAATGTCTGCCGTGGAGTTGGTTCGGGAAGCCATGGTCTTGGATGTCTCCCTCCGGACAAATGCCATAAACTAACGGTCACCCAACTTTGCGCGAGATCACTCACACAGCCAAAAGCCCTGCCAGACACACAGCAATCATATGATGTTGCAGGTGCAAAAAAAACAAAGAAGATTGTGAGGCACAGCCAGCTCCACCTACGAGTAGCTGACAGAGAATGTTTTCTCCACACCAATCGATCGACATGTAATTTGTCCAAGACGGTGTGCACCAGTAAAGTCTTATCTCGAATTGCACTGAATTGGCCAGTGGTCAGGCCCATACTGCTGTTGCCAAAAGTTCGGCCCTGAAAGATCTATGACCGAGTCACCAAAAACCCAACAAATCCGAAGATAAACCTATCTTAACTTATATGATTTGGGCACCAAAAATAGATATCTATTTGGCAAAAATACCCAAAAAAAAATATGGGTATATTACGGAAAATTTTGGGTAAATTACGGATCGATTACGGGTCCCCAGGTTACGGCTAAAATAGATATGTTTTTTTCAGGGCTTGGGTACAGGTTGGTTACGATGGATTACGATCCACCACGGCAACACCAACAAAATAGATATGTTTTTTGGTTGCGTTATGGACAAATACCTAGGTTTTTTTGTCTACGAAGCAAGGTTTCACCAAAGGTAATTACGCCGATTACGGATTACGGCAAAATACGGGTAGAAAACTAACATACACTGTATAAAGCCTTTAAGTCTCAACATAGACGCCAAAAAGGGTGGAAGGGAACTATCATGTTGAGTCTCAGAACCGAACAGCAACAGACCCCAGCTGGCCCAAGCCATGCTTTCTCTCCGAGGCCCTTTCAAAGCTTCGTAGGAAGCAGGCCCCTGAAGCTTGGTGGGATTTTCAGGTGGACGCCTGCCCGGAGGTAATGGCACACGTTTACCATGTGGGCTTCCGACCAGACGTCATCAAACTCTAAGCTAGCAAAGGTTTCCTCTGCTGAGGGAACCACGGCAGGCAACTCAGGCATCCCACGCTTGTCTGCGATCATGGAGTGGAACAGCTCCACTAGTTTGAGGCCAAATTTGGCAGGGTAGCACCTGAGCAACGACCAGAACCTTGAGCATTTACAGAATTTGGGTGATTTGAGGACACACGTGTTTCCAGTCCATTTGTTTGTACCCACAGTCGATCCGTCTTGGAGGTTCCAGAACAAAAGACACCCAGGTGACATCAAAATGGAATTGAATGATTGGGGCCAATGTGCACAGGGGTCTCACTACCCAGACCAGTTCCAAACGACACCCAGCTTTCAAGAGAACAGGTGTTCAGAAAGATTAAGACCCTGACTCACTCGCGCGTAGAGCCTTGGTTCCCTTCCATCTCCGCTTGCCCTGTGAATCATCATAGTGAACGACCAAGTCTTGGGATTTGCCCTTGTCTTTCAGCACCTTTTTCTTTGCGGCCCATCCCAGCAGCTGTCCTTGATTTAAGCTGGAGACATGCCTCGAGTTGGAAAAGGCATACAACCTCTTCGGGGTCTCTGCGCCATAGTGATATTGATACCACGAAGCTTTGTGTACCTGGGCAGCAGTTTTGGCTAGGCAAAAGTTCACCGCACAGCAGTGGTTTGGCTTCATGTGAGTTCCACCCTCACCAACACTGGAGGGTTGCATGTGAATCCCCACAGTACCAAATACAGGCAATGACCCTGACAGAATAGACCCGGGGAGCAAAACAATACAACTATTAATCCGTGCCCCTGGAAGGGTTCCAGTAAGTCGTGTCACCATATTCCCCTACAACCAGCACTTGGCTGAGGAAAGCTGGGAAACCTCTGGTGCGCATGGACACGACCAGGGCCATGCACACAAGTGCACCTGGGCAAAAACACGGTGGAGGCTGGGTGTTGGTCAAGGAACAGCGTGTTGGCCCCCATGTTTCTGAAGCTGACCAATGAAGTCCCTGAAACGAGGATAGTATTCAAAGAAGCTCAGGTATGGCTGCTCCGAAGAGATGCAAGCATTGAGGCATACTGCAACCATCATCAACAATATTGTCCTTGGCTCCAGAGTTGTTTGTTTGTATTCTATTGCTGCATGAACTATGAACACACATACATTAACAAACCAGCTGTATAAGCTCCACTGGTTGGAAGATTGGTTTCATGTGGTTGCAATGCGTTCAAAGATCCGGCTGGCCAAACAATTTCCATTTCGCACTGAAGCAAATTCCAAATTCCCAATAGAGCAACATGGAGATCTTGAGCTGGTACCAGAGTTCACAGGGGTCCATGAGGAACATTTTAATCCAAAATGTGCCAGCCACCCCTCCAGCGAATTGCCTCTAAGCACAGTCGCCAATGCCGTCCTTGGCCACCGGCTGGAGCTGGACAAGGGGTGGTTACTTTGTGCACTTCATGGTTGAGAGGGTCATGGAAGGGTCAATTCAAACATGCATTCCATCTCTTAAACCATACCCAGGGTCACCATACCAGCATCAGTGAGCAAATCCATAGGGTTTTGCTGTTTGTCTTTAGCATCCATGTAGATCAGATCCAACCGAGCTGAAGGTAAATCTGCATAGCGAAACATGCGGGTGACTTGGGCTTCCCCAGCAAACATCTCCACGAACCTGAATGTAGCTGAGGTGTCCTGTAAGAAAACCAGCAGGTTTGTTATGGTGACTATACTGTTACTTGGAATCACAAGTGATCAGCGGAACCTAGGACATAGAAGTGCAGTTGAACAAACAACTGTCCTCCCAGCTCTTTGATGGGAGTTCGGTCCATACCACCAAGAGCACTGCAAACAAGAGCACCTGCAAAAAAGTGCAATGACATGTCCAGAGGAATGTGTAGCCACAAAAACAAGTTTTCACAGTCCACCCATGATGAGAGAATTGCACCTTCGGAGCACCCAGAGCCTTCAGACGCCAGCACAGCTGATCCACGAAATTTGAAGTCCACGCCATGTCGAGAAAGGGCTGTAGGCAGGAGTTTGTTTGTCAAGATTGTTGCAAACAAACCTATGACTCATTTGGGGACTGCTTCGCACTCACTGGTCAGCCTTGCAGTTGCATTAAATAGGAGCACCAGTTCTTGAATGCCTACAGTCATCCAAAACAGCTTCCAGCATGTAAAGGTGTTTGCATGGAACTGGCCGCATTCATGAAGTGAAGCGCAAAGTGTTTCTTTCAACAAAGAACATCAACTATGTCCATCTTTGTCATTCAAGATCAAAAACGAGATCAGCTCAACCAACACAATCAAGAGGGATAGCTTTCAAGTAGTTTCCAATCTTTCCGGGTTGAGCACCAACAAGATTCCAAAGTATTGTGTCCAACTGCCCCAGCAAACCATAAACAAGCAGGGTGGGCATCCTTCATCTTGTAAAAGACCCAGCTTGACCGCCCACTTGTTGCCTCGAAGCTGAGGCATCTCAAGGTCCAACCTCAGAAAGCGCAGCAGCATCTCAGATGTCTATACACAGGACAAAAGTGAAAACACGAGGGTTGGAGGTGAATGGGATGAATAAGACCTGGGTAATTTAAACAGATCTTGTCCGAAGATCCACATGGACATGAGGGTGATCGGTCACTCCCTTTCGTTCAGCTGGCGTGCACTTGCCTTTTTCAATCCTTCCAGATCAAGAAGCATGAGGTTTTCCCCACTGGTCCCATTGCCAGAATCGCCATTTTGGGATTGGCTCCCACACTAGATTGGCAGTGGGTCCACCTACCCCGTACAGACAAGTGGATAAGTAGAAAGAACTGCATCAATGACACAATTCAATATCCTATAGAGAAACAGATTTGGTGGAAATGGTATGCCTGAACAGTGATATCTATTCATTCTGCAACATGCCATTGCTATACGGTCAAAATAGTCTCATCACACACCACTAATCTGTACCACCCGCATCCCAAGCTAAGGCAAAATCACTGGCAGCCATCTTGGCTGGACATGGACATCGCTGCGTACACTGAAGCTGCTCTGCACAACGCCGGATTGGTCAATTGGGATCTTTCGGAACTAGTTTTTGCACACATCACACTGGAACCATACGAACAGGTGGCAAAAGCAAGTAACCCCCACCACCTGAATTCAATTCTTTCTTAAATAATATAGGTAGCTGATGTTTGCAATGGCGAAGTGCATGTTCAAATGCTCACAGCCAAATCTCCCATCATTTCTTGAGAGATTTAGGTTTAAATTTGGATCCTGCGACATTGGCATTGTACCGCATGTAGAAGAGATGCGTTTGAACCTTGCCTGTCGGGCTCCCAAAATCCTGCAAATCACCGTTGGGCAAGTCCGCCAACCACGAAGCCTGGGATGAAGAGACATGGAAACGCATATAGGGAAAGAACTTAGGGTGCAGAGTCCAAGATGGAAGGCTCATGCCTGTAATATTGGCAATATCTAGCACCAACATGTTAGGCAGTCTTTTGGCCAACTTCACTGGACAAAATGGGAGCCTGGTTTTTAAACAGCGGGTGTAGCATAGAGGAAGGTTGCAATTGCACACATAAATGCCACCCCACCCAATACCCCAACTCAGCCCAGAAACCATCATTGAAGCAGCTGCATAGACCAAGGCCACTTGCACATTCCACCCTCCACAACAAGTGCCTACCTTCCCAAAGTAGGCAACCTCTGGGGCCTTGCTCACAGAGCCATCCCCAAGTGATATGACCTTCACACCAACAGCAGGCCGCTTCCAATACTCATTCAGCCTGAACTCCTTGTTCAAGTCAAAGTCCTTGAGATTGGAGATGAGGTACTCCTTCACATCCTCCTCCGCAGTCATTCGCTCCACATTCTTCATGTGCTGCATGAGGATTCCTTGGATCTGAGGGTCCTCACGGGCTGCCTCTTTCATGATCCCCTCCTCAAGCTTCTTTCTACGCTTCACTTCCTTCTTCGCAAATGGTGACAGGTTCATTTTGCCCTTTCCCTTCCGCTGGCCCTTTGTCTTCTTGCCATCCTCCTCATCACCTGGCTCACCTGAGGCAGGTGCAGCGACAGCTGGCTTGACCTGCTGCCTTTTGGCAGCCATGTGTGCCTGAGGCTTGCACTTCTCCAGGATCTCTTTGAGGGGCTCGACCTTGCCAGTCTTGGAATTGTACCGCATATGTGGGGTAGCATCTCCTTCATCTTCCTTCTCATCATCAGACTTGAACAATTCCCTCCTGGGCGTATCAATTTCATCATCATCATCATCACCCTTGTGAGCTCTCTTTGGAGAGGCCACCGCCTTAGCTTTTGCCTTTCCCTTGGGGGCCCCCTTGGGCTTTGGCTCTGCTTTCGCTTTGGCCTTGGCAGTGGCCCTTGTCTTCGATACTTTTGGGTCTGGCTCATCCTCGGCCTCCTCCTCCCCTAGTGCCCTCCTCAACCTCCGCCGAGGTTTCTCAGGCTCCTCCTCCTCCCTCTCTTCTGGCTTTCCACCAGTAGCCTCACCATCTTCAACCTTGGCCTTGGTTTTATTTGCCTTGGCCTTTGCCTTGGCTTCGGCTTTTTCTTGAGCCTTCCGTTTCTTCTCTGCCTCCTTCTCTGCCACCTTCTCTGCCTTCTTCTTTGCCTTCTCCTCTTCCTTCTTTGCTTTGGCCTGTTCCTTTGTCAACGCCTTCTCATTATCATTCCCCTCGCCCTTCTTCTTTGCCTCAGCCTGAGCCTTCTTTGCCTGTTCCTTTGCCTCTTTCAACTTGAGTTGGTCACGGCGAGTCAGCACCTGCCATATGCAGCAATGGCAACCCTAGAGTGTCCTCTCAACCAAATCCAGCTATATACAGAACATATCCTATCAGCTGGTGTTGGAGAGGAACGAGATGGAGAGACTGAGTTGACGAAGCAACCTATACTTTAGCAACAAAGCCTATTCAATATTAATTAATGTTTGTTTTTGATAACTAAAATGCTTTACTTACAGTGTGGGCCTGAAGATTTTCAACCCCATGCCTTGGGGTCTTCTGGAACAAGTTGGGTCGCAGGAATCTCCTCCTCCTCAACCTCCCCCGGATCCACTGGCATTGCCAAATCGAAGGGTATTGGAGCCTCCAATTGCTGGGTGTCATCATTATCTCGCACTTGGGGAATTGTTTTGTGGCCTGCAGGGCGAAGAAGACTCCACTGTTGGTGCACACACATATGCACAGAGCTGCTTACCCAGTGTCATCGCAATCACCATGTTCAAAATCATGGTTTTCACTAACAATAATTTGCGGTTGAAACACTTCCGGGCAGCAGGTTCCACAAGCATCCAACCAATATGATTTGTTTCATCTCCACACCTGTTGGCTGCTCCAAGAAGCCCTGGTGCTTGGGTGTGGGCTCTGCGCTCCTAAGTAGAATGATTGAAGTGATGGGTGAGCAGGACAAACTACTTCATACAGCCCTCCAAGGCCCTTCAAACAGTGTTGTGCTTATTTGGGGGGAGGGTGCATAAACGTTTGATAGGCCTACATCCCAACCCCACCCACCAGGTTGGCAAGCAGTTTCGATCTAAGGACAAGGATCTGGCTCTTGAGCTCTGCCATCCTCTTGAGGATCAGCTGCCGCGCTGCTTGCAACTTGTCAACAACACCACCGCTGGGTGGGCCTGGGATGAAGCCATCGAGAGGAGTGGATGCCATCATTTCACGAAAGTTTTATTTTGTTTAATTTAGGTTGGGAAAACATGCACCATCCCCAAAACAAAAGGTCAATCAAATAGAATTTAACTTTTGATATACAACCTTTTTGGGGGAGTGAGTTGAGATGAGGCTCAGCTACAAGGTGTAGTTTTGCACTTGTCACATGCTGGTGCAGTGACCACCGGAGGAGCTTCAGCGGAAGGGATGCTTGCATCCAACCATTTCTTCAAGTCCTCAAACTCCTTTTGGGTCTGCGCATCTTCTTCCTCATAGGTGTCATCAGCATCCTCATCACTCCAAGATTTTGAACGGCGGCATGAAGCCAAGTAGGCATCAATGGTCTCCTGCAAGACTGGACTTTGCCCTAAATGGACAGTACCACTGGGTTGCAGGAATTACAATAACAGCTTGGTGCCCTATGGCCATCCACGGGACCCCAATGCCACACATGCCATGGCACCACTGACCAAGTAACCATTTCAATTTGAATTGCCGTTGGTTTTCGGACTTGATTCTGCCAGTCCTTCATAGTAGGATCAAAAGCCAGGATCAGCTCATGGAAATTGGTGTCCTAGCTGGGGGCAGCAAGGGCACACACTGGACTACTATTCACAAACTCTTACCAACCTCTAGCTTCTAGTTCAACAACAACTTAACAACCAAAGTTTCACCAATCAAGGTATATTTCAAAACATGTTTATACACTTCCAATTAAAACAGGTTGACATTTGGCAAATACCCTTTCCTTCGTGACCTCCTTCCTAGCACTGCGGCGTTTGACAAAGCCAGCCAACTTTTTAATCTCCACACTGCACTTGTAGCTGGCTTTGTCCCCCAAAGAAAGTCCACATTTCTGGAAAAGACGGCCAACTTCTTCAACCAAATCATCCAAGTGTGGTAGACGATGGTTTGCAGTTTTGCCAAGGCGCGTGAGAACCGGAATCAGCACCAAACCATTGGTCACTGCATTCACCCGGTTGGGTGCACAGTACTGTTCCGTGTCAGGGTAAATGAGGAGTTTTTTCTCTTCCCGCATGCGTGTGCGGAGCCCCACGCTATTCTCCCACTCCAAGGCAAGCCCAAGACACTCCATTGCCAACAAGCCAGGGTTCCAAAACACTTGCTTGAGCAACAAAATCACCCTCCATCACAAGCAGGTGGCTGTGGATAACACAACCAAGAAATTGGCACACCACCAATCAACACCAGGGTTTTGGTGACAATTCCATTCAACTTAACATGAGACCAGGGTTGGATCCAGCCGCCCAGGACCTGACATCCGATCCACCATCGATGGAAAATGGGGCCCCGGCTGGCGGCTTCTCAGGGTAGAGCTTCCGGTCGATCATCACATGGGACAACGGGGCGACCGAAATGAACATCAGAAAGTTCGACACCAATGAAACTATGCGAGTCTCTTTTGGTGACCCATACATTCCAGTTGGACCCTTCTGAATTCTGCATTGTGGTGCATTTTGGGGCCATCATCACTTTTAGGCCCATCATTATCAGGGCCACCTGCAATGGTATTGATCACCTCAACCAACCGGGCCCTGACTTTGAGCCATTGCTCCCTGGTTCAACCCCATCTTCCCCTGCACTGGATTTGAAACCGACTGAACCTTTGCCCACATTAATGCCCATAAACATTGATAATTTAGGAAATATGAAAAATAGATAGGTTTTTTTGGAGATAGATATCTTTTGTCGTTGACAAGAAATAGATAGGTTTTTGTTTTTCACCCCAAAAAATGTGGGTATAAGGTTCAGTAGGTGTATATGTATGTATATGTATGTATATGTATGTATGTATATATGTAAACATATATGCATATATATATATAGGTATATGTATACGTATATGTATGTTTGTGTAATTAAGCAAATATGTATGTGTTTTTGTTTGTATGATTATGATCCCCCTTCATTGTTAGGATTGATGCTTTCACTGGCATTCTACATTTTTTTTGCTTAGTGCAATGCCTTATAATGCCTTGAGAGGGTTTCTTGCCTATAATGCGCAAAACTAAGCCCAAAAGAACATG